TCATTGTACAATTACCAATATGCAAGCTGTAATGTTTCATTATTTATTATATTATTTATTGGCTTATAGACTATTGGCTAGAAGAAGACGTCTGTCGAAACGGCACTGCATTCCGGAGACTACCGTCCCGTTGTTGTCACCTTCTATCTTTATGTACCTGAATCTATAACTTGAATGTATTATTATTACTTTTGTACTTTCATATTCATAACTTCACGATTTTTGTTAAAGAAATATTGAGCGCACTGTGCACAGTTCTTGTGGGTTTATTTTTGCATATAATTATGTTACTCCCATAATAACCCTGTAAGAAGACCGCCCTTTCCCTTCAGGAAGTCCCAAGTCCAACTCGCCAAGCACACTACTGGGATGTTCCCAGCCATACCTGGGTGGTCGAAGTTGTACTGCCCCTTCAGGACTTTGGCCTTCTGCTCAGCCGTGAGCACCTTGTAGAACCGGTCCTGGCTGAGGATGACCACCTTCCGCTGGCGATGGTCCACTTCGTTCTGACCCAGGAGTTCCATGATCTTCTCGCATACTGTCGACTACAGAAGAAACAAGCAAAGCAGGCCAGGTCAGGGGAACAGCTCTGGGTCCGCTTTCCAACAGAGGCCAAAGGAGACAACCTTTAATGCACAGTCCTTGACAGATGAGAAGGAAACTGGCAAACAGCCGTCAACCAGATTCGAGTCCAGCACCTTAAGAGACCAACAGGGCTTTCAGAGTTTGAGCTTTCGAGACTCACTCAACACCCCCTTCGTCATCAGTTTATACAGGCATAAGGGAAAACATCATACAAATCAGGTATAGATGATGGTAAAGGTTTCCCTTGCTCGAAAGCCAGTCGAATCTGACTCCTCTCCGCTTCCAAGCCAAAGAGCCACTGAAGAAGAAGAGATTGGATTTATACCCCGTCCTTCACTACCTGAAGGTGTCTCAGAGCGGCTTACAAACTCCTTTCCCTTCCCCTCCCCACAACAGACACCCTGTGAGGTTGGTGGGGCTGAGAGAGCTCTGACAGAAACTGCTCTTTTTCAAGGACAGCTCTTATCAGAACTACGGCTTGCCCAAGGTCATCCAGCAGGTGAAAGTGGAGGAGTGGGGAATCAAACCCGGTGTAACAGGCCGGATTCACCCCCCGGCCAGAGTAACCCCGGGGTTACTCTGGCCTAGCCTAGAATAACCCCGGAGGTTCCACCTCCTGCGGCAGCCATCTGGTGCTTTTGCCCCATGTCAGAATTCCTCAGGTGTCCACAGGCTCAGAAAGTTGGGGACGCCTGTCAAAAAGGAACTTGGAACTGAGTTGACAGTACTCGCTCATGCTTTATGAATTACCTTGGCTATCATTCTGCAAAATCTTTTTCATCTCGATACACATCTATATGGGTGAGCTGGTGGGGGAAATCACCCACACAAACCCCTTCCGTGTTACGAAATGGGAATCTTAACTAATGTCGCCCTTTTGTTAAAAAGTAATCTTTCTTGTTTTACCCTGTTGCAGATAAAGAACGGGGTTCTACATAAAGTAACCAAACGTACTGACCATTATCCTGTATGGTAAAATACAAGGAAGAGATCATCACTTAGATTAATAATAAGGCTGTGGTCACACAAACTAAATAATCCACTTTCAGTGCACTTTCTGACTGGATTTTACTGTGTGAACTGGCAAAATCCAGTTGGAAAGTGCATTGGAAGTGGATTATAAGCAATGCTCCCTCTAAGCTGTGGAGTCTTATGAGCAAAAATCCTACTTTGTGAGCTACTGGCATTTAAGTTGTGAGCGAGCGATTTGGCTGCTGCATCAGTTAGTTTGCTCTGGAGCCCTCCTTCCTGAGCTAAGAGGAAAATGTGTGAGCCGGAGGCTAAAAAAACTGTGAGCTAGCTCACACTAACTCAGCTTAGAGGGAACACTGATCGTAAGGGGATTGTTTACTCTGTGTGACCGCAGCCTAACATTAGATTGCCAAACTGAGAGTCTTAGAAGCCCAAAAGTCAAAGCTCCCTTCGTCAAATACTGTGAGAGCCAGTTTGGTGTAGTGGTTAAGTGTGTGGACTCTAATCTGGGAGAACCGGGTTTGATTCCCCACTCCTCCACTTGCACCTGCTGGATGACCTTGGGCAAGCCGTAGTTCTGATAAGAGCGGTCCTTGAAAAAGAGCCATTTCTGTCAGAGTTCTCTCAGCCCCACCTGCCTCACAGGGTGTCTGTTGTGGGGAGGGGAAGGGAAAGGAGTTTGTGAGCCGCTCTGAGACTCCAAGTGAAGGGTGGGGTATAAATCCAATCTCCTCTTCTTCTTCTTCTCTTGAAAGCTTCTACCTCGGAAAGCCTGTTGGTCTATTGGGGGCTACCAGGCTCAAATCGTACTCTTCTGCTCTGGATGGACATGGCTACTACCCCTCTCCCCACCTGAAACGGACATGTGGCGTCTTGAAAACAACAATACATTTGTTGCAACAGGACTTTTTGCAAGTTTCATCAATGCTCCCATCATGCATCCACTGCATGAAATGCACCTCCCGACTTCAGTGGTCACACTGGGCTCTGATCGGTTCACAAAAGTTCCCACCACAGTAGATGGTCTTTACAGTCTTTTTATTTATTTATTTATTTTTCGCATTTATACCCCGCCCTCCCCGATAGGCTCAGGGTGGCTTACAGAGGCGAGGCAAAACCTTGCCATATTAAAAACATAATATACATAATGATTTAAAAACATATAATACATCTTAAAAACATCCTCAATTAAAACACGGTGCTCAATAACTTGCATAATTCCAGAGATGGCAGATCGTAGGTCCGAAGTTCCGAGTGGTACTTCCCACGGCTCAGTATTAAGATGTTTCCTCAGGGCCTCATCCAAACCATGGCGGTGGTGGTATAGCAGGGGCGGCGGCTCCTACCCAAAGGCCTGGTGGAAGAGCTCCATCTTGCAGGCCCTGCGGAACTGCATAAGATTCCGCAGGGTCCTGATCTCCTCTGGGAGCTCATTCCACTAGTAAAGAGCCACCACTGAGAAGGCCCTGGCTAAAGTAGCCACAAGCCTGGCCTCCCTGGGGCCTGGAATAACCAGTCGATGTTGTGCCCCCGACCGTAGTGCTCTCTGGGGTATATACGGGGAAAGGCGGTCCCTCAGGTATGTTGGACCCTGGCCATATAGGGCTTTAAAGGTAAGAACCAGCACCTTGAAACGAGGTGACCGTCGCATGGATCACTGTGGCCAGGTCATCGCGGTCAAGGTAGGGGACCAACTGCCGTCCCCGCTGCAGATGGAAAAAGGCGGACTTGACAGTGGCTGCCACCTGGGCCTCCATTGTTAATGTGGAGTCCAGGAGCACCCCCAAACTCCGAACCCCAGACGCTGGCACCAAAGGCTCCCCGTCGAAGGTCGGGAGAGGGAGCCCCAACCCCGCCCCGACTCAGGCCCAGGACCTCCGATTTCGCCGGGTTTAGTTTCAATCGGCTCAGCCGGAGCCAACCAGCCACAGCTTCTAATGCCCGATGAAGGTAATCGGGACTCGAGTCCGACTGGCCACCCAACATCAGATAGAGCTGGGTGTCATCTGCATATTGATGACATCCCAGCCCATAGCTCCAGTCAAATCTGCCAGGCGCCAGGAGGTTTCCCTTCAGTTTGGATGTCACCAGCCTAACACACGGCTGCCCTGCCGGAATGCACTGCTAAGGAAGAGAGACTCTTTCCTGGGAATTCAACAGATGATCCCATTTTTAAACGCTGCCCTTCCCTCTGAGGAGCTCAGCGGAGTAACGCAGGATCCCTTCCCCCGACAAGATTGTCGAGTGTGTTAAGGCTAGAAAGCCCAGCGGGATCGAACCGAGGGTGCATCTAGTCCAGCATACCTGCTGTGTCACTTGATTAGGTATTTTATATTATTAAGAACATAAGAGACGCCAATGTTGGATCAGGCCAAAGGCCCATCCAGTCCAACACTCTGTATCCCACAGTGGCCAGAAATACCAGGTGCCATCAGGAGGTCCAGCAGTGGGGCCAGGACACTAGGAGCCCTCCCACTGTTGCCCCCCCCCCTCCAGCACCAAGAATACAGAGCATCACTTGCCCCAGACCGAGAGCCCCTATCTATACCTTGTGGCTAATAGCCACTGATGGACCTCTGCTCCATACGCTTATCTAATTCCCTCTTGAAGCCGTCCGTGCTTGTAGCCGCCACCAACTCCTGTGGCCGTGAATTCCATGTGTCAATCACTCTTTGGGTGAAGAAGTGCTTCCTTTTATCTGTTCTAACCCGACCGCTCAGTGATTCCATTGAGTGCCCTTAGACATTATACGCTTCCTGTGTGTAACTCAGCCATACGACAAATAAATACCTAAATCCTGGATCCAACTGTGGTCAGCAAGCGGCAAATGGAAGGGTTGCCAACCTCCAGGTGGGGCCTGGGGATCTCCCGTTTTTACAACGGGTTCCCAGACTACAGAGATCAGTTCCCCAGGGAAAAAAAATGGGTGCTCTGCAGGGTGGACCGTATGGATTGTACCATGCTGAGGTTCCCCCCCTTCCCCAAAGCCTGCCTTCTCCAGGCTCCATCCCCCGAATCGCCGGGTGTTTCCAAGTCCAGCTCTGGCAACACTAGCCCCTACCAATGTTCCCTCTAAGCTGTGGAGTCTTGTGAGCAAAAATTCTACTTTGTGAGCTGCTGGCATGAAAGTTGTGAGCAAGAGATTGTGCTGCTGAATAAACTCGTTTGCTCTGGAGCCCCTCCTTCCTGAGCCAAGGCAAAAATGTGTGAGCCAGAGGCTCAAAAATTGTGAGCTAGCTCACACTAACTCAGCTTAGAGGGAACACTGGCCCCTACCCCTAGAAACTGGCACTTAGAGGTAGACTGCCTCTGAATACGGAGGTTCCACTGCGCCGCCCTGGCAAACAGCCCTGCAGAGGCCTCTCTCTCCTCCCTGCCTTGGTGTCAATCCCCTTTTAAAGCCATCTGCGTTTAGCTGGCTGACCCCCAACTTCGTCGGCGATGCAGTGCAAGAAGGAGAGAAGACAGAAGAGCGGGGCGCGGGTGGCATCCACTCTCACACCGTCTGCAAAGGAATGCATGCATTTTGCAACGCGTCGGTCTTCCTGCAACAAGATTTGCAATGCCGCGCTGCATCTCGGCGGGGTTCATGCAACTCGTGGGGGTGGGCGAAGGGGGACAGGAAGCGTTTAGCCCCCTAATAGTAAAGTCGGGGGGTCAAAGAGCTCCCTACCTTGCCGCTGGCGGTGCCTCCCTCACCCCGATCAGGAAAGGCCTCGGGTGCGGCCGCTCCACCTCCCCGGCGCCTAAGAGATCCAGACTGCTGCTGCTGCTACTGCAGCCCGCGGAAGCCATGGTCCGGGTTGCATCGCAGGCAGGGCAGGCCACGGCGGAGAAACTACATCCCCCAGGGAGCCTCAGGGCGAAGGGAGCGCTTGCCTGAATCGCGGGCGGCCCGCAAGGCATGATGGGACATGGAGTCAAGGAAAGAGTAGCGCGCGCGCGTCAAAGGCTCCTTCCCGGGGACGCAAGAAGTTCGAGCGACAGGCCGGTGGCGAGTGGGCGGGGCGGGGGCGGGCCTTGGCGGCTCAAGGG